TCTTGCTCAGGCTGGTTTCGAACTCCTGAGCTCAAACAACCCGCCCGCCTCGGCCTCCCAGAGTGCTAGGATTACAGGCGTGAGCCACCACGCCCGGCCTCAATGAGCAAATTTTTAAAAATAAAAATCTCTTAAAAGAGAGAACAGGGTTGGATTGCTATATTAAAAGAGGTCAAAGATTAATTCACAAAAAGCCCTTCATTTTCCTTCAGAAAATTAAAATCCTGCCTTAAACAGAATATTGAAACAAATACAATAAATTTTTCTGTTTTGCAATTCTCTCCACAGAAAGATTTTGCCTTTACTAATATTATTTAGTGGACTAGCAAGCAGAATGGGAATGAAGTCTAATACTTACTGAGCACCTATGATGTACCAAACACAGTGCTATTCCATTTACATGGCAACCTCATCGAATTTTCACAAAGAATATTGTCCTCTTTTGACATGAAGAGATTAAGGCACAAAGAATTAGAGTAACCTGCCTCAAGGTGTATACCTAGCAAGCTGCACAGCCAGGATTTGAAACTGAGTATGACTGTAAAACTTATGCTCTTTCATTGTATCATGCTAGCATTAACGGCATATTTCTAACACATGTTACTCACAATTTAATAACACATTTTAATAAAACTGGGAAAATTAACGTACTACATACCATGATAATGGTGTCAAAAGAACTTAAATCAGGTCGCTAGTGCCTGACCACTATTACAGTTCCTGGAATTATTTCCTTCTCTGTTGACTTCAGAGTCTACTCTTGCTCTACCGTAGCCCCTGTAACAATTTAAATTATGATAGTCTCAAAATCCTCCTGCTACAAAACTCCCCACCACCCAGTAACGATCACCAGAGTTAGACTGCCTAGTGGTTGAAGGGGACAAGTACACAAGGAAACAAAGCTTCTATTAAAATCCAACCTTGTCCTCTCTCTGCCAAGGCAAAAAAAAAAAGCAATGTGAATGGAAAAACTATATTTACATAAACTGTAGTAACCACCACACTATATATCCCAGAAGGTGTCAGTTTCTTTAGATTTGTTTTGAATTGACATGTAACATAAACAAAAGTATGCAAATCATATGCATATAGCTCAATAAATTATCACAAAGTAAACATCCACACCATCTATCAAGAAAAATTAATAAGCACCCAGAAATCCCTCCAATGTCCCATCCCAATCTAATATCCCTTCCCTCTTCCCCAAAAGTTAACTATTGCCTAATTTTTAATACTATAGTTTGAAAGTTTCTTAAGTTTATATAAACGGAGTCATACAATACGATATTCTTTTGCATTCAGCTTCTTTCACTTAACACTGTATTTGTGATACTCATCCACATTAGCTATAGTCTGTTTTCATTTCTGCATAATATTCCATTCTATGAATATACCATTTTTTTATTTATCCATTCTACTCTTGATGGACACTTGTGTGTTTTCCAGTTTTTGGCTATTACAAATAATCCTGCAAAGAACCTTCTTAAATGTGCCTTTTGGTGCTGATGTATATGCATTTTTGTTGAGTACATTATTAAGAGTAGAACTTTTGGGTTATAAAATTTGCATATATTCAGCTTTAGTATTCATGGCTAACTAGTCTTCCAAAGTAGCTGTACCAATTTATATTCCTACCAGCAGTGTATCATAGTTTCCATTACTCTACTTCCTCATCAACACTTGGTATTATCAGTCTATTTAATTCTAGCAATTGCAGAGGGTGTTTAATGTTATGTCATTGTGGTCTTAATCAGCAATTTTGGTGACAGCTTTTCATATTTACTGGCCATCTGGATATCCTCTTTTATGATGGGTCTGTTCAAGTCTCTTCCTGTTTTTCAAATGGATGTTCAGTCTTTTACTGACTTGTAGGAATTCCTTATTTATTCTGGACACTAGTTCTTTGTTCAGTTATTATGTGTTTCAAGTATCATTTTCCTCTCTGTGGCTTGTCTTTTCACTTTCTTAATCATCTTCCATTGTTTCTTAACTTTATTGCAACCCACTTTATCGTTTTTTTTGTCAGTACTTTTTGTGGCCAGAAATCTTTCCCTATTCCCAAAGTCATAAAGATTTCCTATTTGTTTCTAACAGCTTTACTGTTTTACCTACATTTACATCTACAGTCTACTTGGAAATGATTTTTATATACAGGGTGATTTAGCAATAAAGTTTTGTTTTTTCCCTACATGAATATTCCATTGACCCAGTATCATTTATTGAAGAAAGTCTTGTCCTCAATGCTCTGCAGTGCCACATTTGTCACAAATATTGATATATGTTTCTGTTTCTGGAGTTTCTGGGTTTTTCCATGGTCTTTCTAACTTTGCACCAAGACTGCATTGTCTTCATGACTATAGTTAAATAAGTTTTAAATCCGATAAAGGACATCCTCCCACGTTGTTCTTCTCTAAGATTATCCTGGTTCTTCTTAGCCTTTTACATTCCCATGTTTATTTTTAGAATTGTCTTAATTTTCATTAAAAAAAAAACTTTTCTGAGATTCTGATTGGAATTACATTCGATAAATACAACAATTTAGGCAGAATCGATGGATTTACAATATTGATTCTTCCAATCCATAAACATGGAAATTTCTTTCAATGTTTATAGTTTCTTGTATAAAGAGCTTATACATATTTTGTTATATTTATTCCTTCGAATGTGATGTTCTTTGATGCTATTATAAAGGATATCTTTCTTAAATCTCATTTTCTGCATGGTGTTTGTGTATAAAAATACAATTTCTTTTTATATTGGTCCAACCTTTTTAAACTCACTCATTAATTCTAATAGTTTACCTAGATATCTTCAGGATTATCTATGTTCAAAATCATGTTGTGTATAATTAATAATAGTTTCATTTCTTCGTATCTAATCTTTACCATTTTTAACTTCTTCTTTCCTTATTTCCTTGACTAGGACCTCTAATAGAGTATTGAATATAGTTGTAATTCAAGCATTAAGTCTATTTTCACTTCATATACTAGTAATATAATTGGATTTAAATTTTTTTCTTTTTAAATCTGTTATTATTCTTGTCTTTACAATATCCCTTTTCTCTTCTTTCTTCCCTTCCTGTGGACTATGTTTTGTTATTTCAATTTTCTCCTTTCTATTAACTTAGTGGTTAGACTCTTTTCCCAGTCTATTAGTGATAAAAAATTACAACAAGCAACCCTGACCTATCAAAGTGTAAAATTACTTGTTACTTTTATTCTCTTCATGAACAATGCGAGGTCCTTAGAAATGAACTCCATTTACTCCCCTCCCAATTTATATGCCATTGTTGTTAATCCCACAAGACATTACTTATTTAGATTGTCTACATATTTACCTTTCCAATGCTCTTCATTACTTCCTGTATCTTTGAGCTTCCATCTGGAATCATTTTCCTTCTGCCTGAAGAACTCCTTTTTAGTTTTTCCTTTAGTGAGGGTCTGCTGGTGACAAATTCCCTTAATTTTTATTTCCTGAAAATATTTTTATTTCACCTTCCTTTTAAAAAGATATACTTATTGAATAGAGAATTCTAGGTTGGCAGCTATTTTCTTTCTTTGGGCTTCCACCGTTTCTGTTGAATATTCCACTAGATTTGGGCCCCAATTTCTTCACTGCCTTAATAGTTCTCCAAAGCCTTGAAACACAAGGCTGCAAAAATCCTCAACAAAATATTAGCAAATCAAATCCAGCAACATGCAGAAAGGATTATATGCCATGACCAAGTGGGATTTATCCCAAGAATGGAAGATTAGTTTACCATCTGAAAACCAATCAATGTAACTGCTACAGACTGAATTGCGTCCCCCCAATTCAGATGTTGCAGTTCTAACCCCTAATGTATTTGGAGATAGGGCTTTTAGTAGGTAATTTAGGTTAAATAAAGTCACATGGGTAGGGTCCTAATCTGCTAGGACTGGTGGCCTTATAATAAGAGGAAGAGAGAGAACCCTTTCTCTCCACCATGTGAGGACACAGTGAGAAGGTAGTCATCTATAAGCCAGGAGAAGAGCCTTAACCATCAACTGAATCAGCTGGCACCTTATCTTAGACTTCTAGCCTTCAGAACTATGACAAATAAATTTCTGTTGTTTAAGCCACCTAATCTATGGTATTTTATTATGGCAGCCTGAGCTAATAAAGTAATTTATTAATAGACTAAAGGACAAAAACAATTATCTGATGCAGAAAACCAGGCCAATCAATTTAATTGTTCTAGACTGAACTGCATCCCCGCCCCCGCAAATTCATACATTGAAGTTCTAACCCTTAACGTGATTGTATGTGGAGAGAGGGCTTTTGGGGGGAACAGAAGGTTGTTCCCTACCCCTCAGGCCAAAGTTGAAGCAGTTTCTTGCCTCCTGGAAAAATGGTAACTTGGTCACTCACAGCAATTACACCTCTCCAGTGCCTAAGGTGAAGTGGCACCCTGCAACTCAGGAAAGGGTGCCTTGGATGCACAGTGTAGTCACACACTCCAGTATCTAAGCTGAAGTTTCCCCTTGCATCCCACAGAAATAGCCACCCAGAACAGTCATGCTCCTCATGCCTACGATGAAGTGGTATATCACCTCCTGGAGAATCAATGCCCTGGCCAAGCTGAGGGAGGAGCTATGCATTCCAGGGCTGAGCTGATGTAGTACCCCATGACTCAGGGAAACAGAGATGTGGCTGAGCTGAAACATCCTGCCCTACAGGCCAAACAACTCTAGTATCCTGCTCCTCTGGAACTGGACTAGCCCCTGGAGACATGCTTCTCCCTGGGGAGTGGAGGCATTGCTGTGCTGTTCCCTGCATTCCCTCCTCAGGGACCAAACAACAGCTGTGCTCCACTATTCTAGGGTATTTCCTGTCACTGTACCTAGACTTACAGAGTCTGGGATACTCACAAACTTCACCATCCCAGGGTCTACAGTCACTACTACATGGTGCCTCATCCCATGGGATCTCAGTTGCTACCGAGCCCTATTGGCTCCGGTCCCTGAATTGCACCTGTATCCCACTCATCAGGCTCAAACCTTCAAAACACTCCTTCTTCCCCGGAGTCAGACCAGTGCTATACCCCACCCTCCAGAAGTAGAATCACAGCTATAACCCGGCTCCCTGGACCCAAGCTGCTAGGGGGTGCCTAAAAGTCACAGATCCTGGCTCCGCATGCAACATACATCCGACCCTGCCATAGAGAGTGAAATTTTACCCCCAACCCCAGGTGCGACAATAGGTTCATGAGATCGTGAACCTAGGACCCTAGCCCCACAGCTGCTCCAGGCACCTGCACCCGCAACACAGAGCCACTGCAGCTGCTTACAGGCTGTGTCAGACCTGACATCAAGAAGGATCCACCCAGCTAAGTCTCTCCATTGTGGGGAAAACAAGAATAGGTGGACCCCTAAAGCTCTTGACACCGAGGACATTAATAACCTATAACACTGCCATTGCGAAGAACTTCCACAGTGTAGGCCACTGAGGTGCCACAGTTATTGATGATGGTGAACAAAGCCGTAGAAGCTGGATAAAAACTATTAACATTGTACCTATCCAGAAACAGAGTCATCATATCCTCCCAACTGGCACACTAACCCCAACTGCAAGTGAAGTCTTTCTCTGTGAAAGCCACTCCAGAAAGTATGGAAGAGGCAACAGTTCTATCATGTGCAAGACATCAATGTAGGGACACAAGAAATAAAAAAAAGAAAAGAAACATGACACAACCAAAGGAATATAACAACTCTCTAAGTAACAGACCCCAAGAAAGGAAATCAATAAACCACTGGAAAAGGAATTCAAGATAATGATCTTAGGGAAACTCAGTAAGATACAAAAAAATATAAACAATTCAATGAAATCAGAAAATGAACTGATGATATGAACAAAAAATTCAACAGAGATAAAAATCATAAAAAAGAACCAAACAGAAATCCTGCAGCTAAGGAATTCAATGAATGAAATTTAAAATGTAATAGAGAACCTTAACAGCAGACCTGATTAAGCAGAAGAAAAAAAACTTTGAACTTGAAGATAGGTCAATTAAAATTACCCAGAGGGGGAAAAAAAAAAATAAGAATGAAAAAAAGTAAAGAAAGCCTATAAGACTTATGAGACATGATTGAGCAAATATTCATATTATGCGAATTCCCAAAGACAAGGGAAAAGGCATATCATGAAATAATAGCTGAAAATTTCCCAAGTCTACGGAGAGATATGGACATTCAGATACAGGAGGCTCAAAGATCACCAAGTAGATTCAACCCAAAAAGGTCCTCTTGCTAGGCACATTATAGTCAAATTGTCTAAGGTCAAAGACAGAGAGAATTCTAAAAATAGCAAGAGGAAAGTGTCAAGTCACATATAAGGGAATCTCCATGGGACTATTAATAAAAGCATATTTCTTTCCAGAAAATTTACAGGCCAGCACTGGATGCGATAACATACTCAAAGTGCTGAAAGAAAAAAAAAAATTTTTCAGCCAAGAATAGTATATCCAGCAAATCTATCCTTCAGAAATGAGAAGAAACAAAACCTTGCCCAGACAGACAAAACGAGGGAATTCATCACCACTAGACCAGCCTTACAAGAAATTCTCAAAGGAATCCTACATCTGGAAGAAAAAAAGACAATAATCACTATAATGAAGGCACACAAAAGTATAAAACTCACAGGTAGAATAGATACACAAAGGAGAAAGAGAAAAGAATCAAACAATCCCTACAGAAAACCACAAAACTGCAATGATAAATAATAAGACAGGAAGAAAGTAACAAAGGATATAAAAACAATCAGAAAGTAACTGACAAAATGATAGGAGTAAGTCCTCACCTATCAAAAATAATCTTAAATGTAAACAGATTAAATTCCCTACTTAAAAAATACAGACTGGTTAAGTGAATTAAAAAAAAAAAAAAAAAGACCTAAACATATGCTGCCTATAAGAAACTCACTTCA